CGATGACATACATGAATTGAGATACGGTCCAAATTGGAAAAAAAAAAAAAAAAAGGCGCCATCAGTGAGTGTTGCTGTGCGGGGTCCACTTGTAGGATATAAAGTCTATAAACCTATCCCCAGGAAACGTGTTTTTTTTTTTTTCTTTCTGTTTTTTTGTTTTGTTTTGTTTCACTGCACCCCCCCCTCCCCCCCTTGAACCACCACTACCTTTCGCAGCTGTAGTCCCAAATGACCTCATGCGAAAAAATCGCCGCAATGCGCCTTGCGGCCGCTAGTATTTGTCATTGACGGCTACCGGCCTCTGAAACGAGCAGGACCGGGGCGGCCGACATATGAGAGAGGTAGTGGTGGGGGCATTACAGATGTGAAGGATATGTGCAACTTATGGCATATTCACACTAAGACGCTTTTCTACTGAATCTGAACCAAGTTCATCCAGCTGATACATCCAGAAAAGTAGCTAGTGTGCTAGGACACCCTTCAAACCACCATCATGTCTGGTGTTCGATGACTGGGAAGCACTGTCCTTTTCTTTCATTTGCAGGTTTCGGATTCACAATCAAGCTGCTTCAGATTCACAACTGCTAATTCACAAATTTCGGAGGCCCGAATTTTTCAAACTTCCGACCAAACCAGAGCGTCGGACCAGATACCTCGGGATCCAGGTCACCAAGGACGGTCCCTCCCCCTCAGATGGCCCAAAATCTTCTTGCCAACCAGATCACCAAAATGGGAAGATGGGGACAAACTTTCTCCTCACTAATGGGTAGAGCCCTCATCACAAACACCTCAATTTTCTCTGTGATGTGGTACATAGTTTCTATTTGGACAATTCCTGATGATTCTAGTAAGGAGGATAGAAAATCCGGCGCGTTCCTATGGGGGCGGCTGACCCAAACAAAGAAAACTACATACCAAAGCTACTGTGGCACTATATCACAAGGAAGCCCTCCGCAGGAGGATTGGGAACCCTAGACCCCCCTGGTCAAGAAACGAAGGCCCTGCAAATGAAAAAATGGACTATACAGACCCTGATGAAAACAGTCATTGCCATGGATTAATATGGCGCTAGACAGCACAGCATCCACTCTCTAACACCTGTCAAAATTTCTTGAAAACCCACAAAACATGTCCGGGGTTTTCTGGATTATGAATACAGAATGGAATCCCAAAACAGGCCCTCAAAGAAGAAGAAGAAGAAGAAGAAGAAGAAGAAGAAGAAGAGGGACTTATGGAGAAGATGACTCAGCAACAGCCCTCCCGTACTGGACTGCGCCGCTAATTCGAATCTGGAGGGAAATAAATAATGCCTGAGCAAACTAAAAAGACCCCAGATCCAAAGACGAAGTGCTGCGTCAACCACTTTTCGGAAACCCAGCTATAAGGAATGACAGTGACCTCCGATGGCCTCTTAACGCCCAAAGGCAGCAGATGGGGATCATGGGTCAGTCGCGGGATATGGAAGATCGCTCATATGGAACATCTCGAGAAGAAAGACTGCATGCAGGAAAAAAATGAACTTAAAAGTTAAAACGCGCCTCAAGGGATGTCACCATCACAGTGACAACTTACAAGAAAAAATGATAAGAAGCATCCCTGAAAGCTGGCAACAGACTCCTCCTGGAGACCAGGAGAATGGGGGGAAGAGATTCAAGATGTACTCTCACCTCAATTCGTGCCTACCAGTTCTCACACCGGCTTCTCACCAATAGCTACTCGGCTGTGTTCACATACTTCCCCATCTGTTACTCTAACCCTGGAGCCCCATCTTCACTGAAGCAAGACCCAAAAGAAGCCACTCTCAATGGGTGGGTAATACTGGGTATGCTTTACAAGGTTACACAACATTAGAGTAATCATGGGGCTATGGCCAAAAAAGATACTCCATATGGACACCTCCATCCAGGACCTGGAAATTTGATCCAGCTGAGTGGGGGTGGCAACTGAAGAAAGGCAAAAGGAAAAATTTCATCGCGCCAATATCAGAATACACAGTCAAATTAGGCTACGAGAGCCTACTCAAGACACCAAGAACCCGAACCAACAATTAGACGCAGATGGACAAGATTGATTGTTAGGGGAAGAGGCTAACCAAATTTCCGAAATACCCCTCGGGGATAAAATTCAAACTTCAAAACAAGTCAAGGTGAGAAAAGTCTCCAATGGCTGATTATTAACCCATGCTGCCCTCCCAGTCAACCACTGGTCACATATCAGGAGAAGGAAAAGTGATCCCATCTGTTTGGATAGATGCATGGTTTGCTAACTTAGCTCAGACCAAGAACAAGCAAGACAGAAGCAACAGAAATATGGGCGACGGCCTCTGACTTATGGGACCGCCTCTTCTCATCCGTCCCCTTTCCCTGAGCATCATCCCATCCATCTCCTCCTATGGACTAACATCCCTTCCCAGTTCAGCAAGCCAGAAAAAACAGTGGTTCGGTCTGCCGCAAAGCAACCCTATGTCGGAAATAAAGGGGGGGTTGCAATATGATTGTTGAGCATAGGGTAATGGGAACGAACTCTCACAGGTCGAGTGTATGAACGTATGCTGACATGAATAGGGACTGACAAGGGAACCAGGGGGGAACGAGCTGGCAACACTAAATGTCCGATCCTTGCACGCGTAACGTGTGCAGCTGAACTCGAGTCTCAGACTGAACCAGGAGCGAACGAGCTGGCGACACTAAATGTCCGATCCTTGCACGCGTAACGCGTGCAGCTGAACTCGAGTCTCACACGATAGTTCGAGAAGCCCTATGGGTGATATGGAAGGAAAGATGCATCAGGAGAATAAGAGAATAACTCGAATAATAATGTAACTGGAGTTTACATTTCACTGATCAACTACATCATAGATTGGGCGTAGCAACACTTTGGCCGTACAGTCCTTCTAGGCTTCTACTCATCTGCTCAAGCTGTGGTGGACGTCTCCTGTCCGCGAATAAATACTCTTCCCTGGTTCTAAGGTCTACCTTTGAGGCGAGCAAAAAGTAAACGTGAAAAATATGAAAATTACAATAAAATACAAAATAAGAAAAATAAATAAATAAATAAAGATAATCTGATAATGTTTAATAATCAAGATAATCAAACAATTTAAAACGCGTGATTATGAAGAGGTCACCAATTCTTTGGCTATAGCACCTTGCTGAAGTCATCATTTTGTCTGGTATCGTCCTCGAGCAATGCCCGTTCCTAGACCGTCGGTGTGCTGCTGCATACGATATCATCTTCGAAGGCTACTTACTGTGTATCGTCCCAGCTCGATTCTTCAATGCGTGTCTTTGTCGTTACCGGCAGATATTCCTGCCGGGTTTCTATAGACGGCCTAAAGGCCCAGATCGGGCCCAGACCCCTCTAAAAAAATCACACATCATTTCTACGTGTACAAACTTCCAAATAGTGAGGCCATTTCAGCCCGGACCCTCCCACCCTCCCTTTCTGCCACCTTCTTTTACTGCAGTAACTGTGCAGTTATAAACATGCTGCTCGGATAACAAAGAATGCTCAATACTCTGTGAAAGGTCATGAGCACGATAGGTAACAGAGCGTCCGAGGAGGTAATAACTTTTATGAAGTTTTATCCGAGGAGGTATTAGCTTTTATGAAGTTTTATCCGATACATGGTTCCGACAATAGTTGCGACTTTTTGTTCCATGGATCCAAAAGAGTCGAAAAGACTTAAATAATTTTAAATTCCTTCGCTGTCTTATATTTGAGTGTCTCTTTATTCCAGATTCTTTCGCCATTCTTAAATCTGTGATGTGCCAATACCTCGGACGGGTCATTGATTACGACAACTTTAACTTCCAAAAATTCAGTGATGTTAACATCGCCGTCAGTTCTTTGCAGCACCAGGTCCTCAAGATAGCACCTGTTTTTTTTTTTTTTACCGTCGAGCCTGCCCGCTGCTTTCTCAGCTTCTCCACGTTTATTCTTGTTGAACCATGTAAAATTATCAACAGGTCATCGATCGATGAATCTTCTTCCGAACATCAGCTTTCTTCTCGGACATCCTAATGTCTGCAGAAACTCGTACTCACTGCTCATGCATACCAGACATGCGAGGGCAGGACTCGTGTGTGTCCACCCATGGGAATTCCTTTCTTCTGCTGCAGGATCTCATTCCCGGACTGGACAAAGTCCGGGCCACAACAAAGATCATGATGGAAGCAGAGATTCTATGCAGATGGTGAAGGGTCAAGGAGAAGGGACAGAACTTGCTGGACAAAAGTCAGAGACAACTGACGACATTCAGGAGAGAACCTGGCTAGGTAGCCAATGACAAGGAGGCGGACATCAACGACATGCGGCTGAAATTCAAGGATTGGCATAATTCAGAGACTGGAGGATGGAGACAGAACTCTCAGACGGAGAGGGCCCGGAGCCCCGCAAGCACATGACAACCTAAAGGAAGGAAGGACCCCCTCTTATGTTTCTTGTTGATATGAAAATTCAGATCTGACAGGTCCACGTAAGGAACCTGGGAGGAATACATGATAAGGGCAAGCTGACAGTCAATCCTCCTGCAACAGGGAGCAATCAATGCTGTTCAGGGATCCTTCGGCCGAATGGAAGGATGCATGTGTAAACGATGCACCTGACGAATTTCGACTTGCTGGGGGTATAGGAACCGGACAGATGCTAATACCTTTCTCGGCCTTTTGGCTAAGATCAAGTGTAGTATCTGTTCTGATCAGTTAAAAAAAAAAAAAAAAAAAAAAAAAAAAAAAAAAAAAAAAAAAAAAAGGAACCGGACAGATGCTCCCCTGAATGGATATGGACCCAGTACCATAAGGTCCTGTTTTGTTATATATATTATATATATATCGTCAAAATATATATATATATAATATAAAAAAACAACAAACAAACGACCCAGAAAAGTGCTGATAATTAGAACGAATCTCAATGAAGGTATCCTTTCCTCTTGTAGAAATTCATAAAACCTTGGGGCAGTAGTCTCCTTGATGCTCACCATTCATTGCTTTCTGTTTTCCTGACCTTTTTTACTCTTGCTCTCTCCTCTATGCTTGCCAGTGATAAGCAACTGGACTGACGCCCCCAGAATAGAAGGGGCTGTGTGTGCCAATTAAAAAAAAAAAAAAAAAAAAAAGCGTATTGTGACTGTGAGTCGCTGACCTGTGATTGCCGAAAGCTGATAAAGGTGGATGTGCATATAGATACCATGCTGACGACTTCGCGATTCACATCACACGAGCCCGAAGATGCACTCAGCTCACCTCAAACTTGTTTGCGCGTGCTTAATCTCATTCCTTATCGATCATTCATTTTATATCCTCGGTTCCACGCCTCCAATTCTCAGTCCTTGAGCCCCAGTCATAGTCCCCATGAGGTTTGTCACTGGTCCACTGCTGCTGTACCAGCTATGGATCACTGAAGCGTTCACGTGTGCCCTTATGTTTGTCTCATTGAGTATCCCTATGCATGTCCTCATTGGACCATCTGATGCCTTTCTCCACTTGTAAGTGCCACGTGTCCTCGTGCGAGGGCAGCCATGTGTTGTCGTCCGATGACTGTTATGTGTTGTCTATGACTGTTATGTGTTGTCGTCCGATGACTGCCATGTGTGGTCGTGAGAGGGCAGCTACCAGCGCCAGTGCCCTTAGACCAAGTGTGAAGTCACCTGTAAGTGCCATGTGTACTTGTGAGAGGGTTGCCACATGTCCTCTTGTCCTTCGTCATATGTGCAAATCTTTGCTGCCTCTTCCAGGAGACTGCAGTTTGGCTTGCACTGTCACCTGGCCCGATTTATTGCCAAGGCCTTGAAACTGCACCGAGAGTTTGGGACTCTACACGCCGGAGGCACTTGGACCTGACGATGCGGGTTTCAGGACCACTGTGAACAGCCAACTGTGCTGCAAGATCCATGAACACACTTGGTGCATACTAGCAACAGATGGTACAGACGTTGTACCGCATGATCCATAGCCTGTGCGCAATACATGCATCCATAGCAGCACAAATGAGCTTGTGGGCCTTAACCACCTGCTACACCACCAAATGATTCATAGCCATCCATACCTTCTCCTAGTCAACACCTGTTACACTTGGTACAGAATGTGAACCAACCTGGTCCATGTCCTGTAGAAAATCAGTTCACCGCAGAAACTACACCCTTAGTGCATATGTCATCCTTGAGGCCTCGGCCACTTATGACACGAGATCAAAATATAGTCATACCAAGTCCAATTCCCGGTCCAATTTCTGGTCCAATTCATGGTCCAATTCGTGGTCCAATGGCTGGTTCAGTTCCTGGTACTTAACCAGCCATGGGCTTGGCTACAAACAAGCGTGAATGTCAGCCACTTAATTTTATTCTGAGACACAGAACAGAAGGCAGATGGATGACTTTTGGTCTATAATGTCGGATCGAATCCCAAACAACAGGTCGTCGCTCTCATCCATAGGTTGTAGTATGGAATCCTCCACGCTTGCTTTTTCAGTCTTCAACGACTCTTCATTAATTACTTCATTTTATAATCGCAGGTGCTAGTATTTTTCCTACTGGTGCTTTACATCAATATATAATATATATGAATGGGGAAACTGCTGATGTGCTCCAGGCACTGGCAATCGCACTACTCATTGCCAATTACAAAAGGCTGTTGGCCAGACATTCTCGATCTATTTCTTTCTCGTCTCTTTCTCAAAAGTTAAACAGCTGGCGTTCCGCAATCCTTGCGCATCGTCAATCCAATGCATCTTCGTCCTCCAATCATGTGAGCCAGCCACATTCACTTGATTCTACACATGTCTCCTTGCAACATCTTCACAACCCTTTGCCATTGTCCTTGTGGACAAAACATCACACAATTTGACAATTTGCTGCAAGAATTGGTATTTGTTGCATAACTCGAGTCTCTACTCGTGTCCTCATGAATCCATTGCTGATTTCCTTGACAACCATGTAATATGGAATCACCATCGGGGTTACACCCACACTGATACCCTTTATTACCTCTAAGTTCCCATAGACGAGAGAAGGTTACATTTTCTCCAGCTCCAGGATGTGGGGAGTCGACATCGCAAAGCTCACAAATCTCCTTCAGCAATTCGTGCAATGTTCATGAACGGCCTCCTCATAAACCATTGGCTAGTACAATGACTACTTCGTTGTATCTCAGCGCCGCTTTGCAAGGAGTGATCTCTACTCTTTGCGAGAACGAAACTGAGCTCCATCAACAGGTTGGCGTTCGACGATGCTGGATCGTTTAGAGTGCTGATGAAGTGGCGATTGACCTAAAAAACAATGCATCGTCCATTCGTGGCCTCTCTCCTTGCACTGCTGATTTTACCGCAATGTACACCAACCTTCCTCATGGACACATTCTAAATAATGTGGCAAAAACTGTTGATGATGCCCATGCTTATGCCCTTCGGCATGCTCGCATGCATTAAATGTTGCAATGCCCTGAACATGGTTATTGGAGGACCTGGTTGTGGCCAATGGACAATTGATTCAGGCCCGAAAAGTGTTGTACACAAAACTTTTCTGTACACTCGAGATGGCACGCTTCGGAAACAAATTATCGGTATTCGAATGGGAACAAATGCTGGCCAATAAAATTTCTAATCTGGCGGTGTATGGGGATGAAGCATGCTTTGTTGACGATATTTGTCAACATGATTCAAGCCACTCCGCAATATGCCTTCACTTCATGGGGGCAATGACCTCCTCCACCACAGCACAATGTGCTTTAGTGGAAGGAAACTACAACAACAAATGGCTCACGTACGTTTTTAGGTATGCAGCTATGGGTCCATTCTGCTGGCTTGCTTCACATGAGTGTCTTTTATAAAGCGACTGCTTGGGACTTCCCTGTCATTTGTTATCCACATGCGACCTCTAACATTTCTTCCCATCAACCGACTAGTACGTTCACTGAGCCATTGACCAGATCTGAACAGATTTATACAGATTGGTGGGACTTTAGGAAGTGCGGCAACAAAACTTACTCGTCGCATGCTTTCTCATGGGCATTTTTACCGACCCTTGCTAAGGGGTGGACCTGCTACATGCAGTTCCGCCAACGCCGCTATCCTATATATGTGACGTGTCTCTCTCAGTGGTTCCGATGCATGTCCCTGCATCATCCACTTTCTTCTTTGCCCCCACGACGCTCTCGTCCCGCCCCTGCTTGCTCATCTGCTACTACTGCAGTTTCCATCACTTTACGTTCAGCTAGTACTAAAAAAGCAACTCCTAGTAAAAATGGTTTATTATCCCCTACTCTTTTAATCGAATAGTGGGTTTTGTGAGACCGCGCCCGTGTGGGCCCAGAGCGGCCCCAGTGAAAATGAAAAAGCGGGGGCGGCGGACGTGTAGGCGCGGTCCCGGCCGGCGCGCATCGTTTTAACAGGCTTTTTTTTTTTTTTTTTTTTTTTTTTTTCCCTTCGGGTGGATGCGCGTCGCGACATTTGGCAAGTCTGTTGTTTTTTGGGGGGGAGATGGTGGCGCACGTTTCTGCCCCGGGCACATCGACGTCAGAATACCCCGCTATTCACCACATGCAGGAAAGACAAAAATATGGGCGTGTATCTCACCATGTTCCAGTGGACGATTCATACCATTTTGCGCAGCAGATTCATTCCATTTTGCACGGGAGGAGGAGCAGGCGCAGGAGGGGCGGAATGATGAGCGGGAGGAGGGAAAGGATGGACGGGACGACGACGAACAGGAGGAGAACAAGATGGCGAGCCTTGCTACTCACCACATGCAGGAAAGACAAAAAAAGAATATGGCCCGTGGAGGAGGGGAAGGAGAACGGGAAAGACGATGAACAGCAAGACAAAAAAACATGGCCCTGTATCTCCCCATGTTCCAGTGGAAGATTCATTCCATTTTTCATGGGAGGAGCGGGAGGAGGAGGGGCAGGATGACGAACGGGAGGAGGGGAAGTAGGAGGATGAAGAGGAAGACAAAAAATTATGGCTGTGTATATCCCCATGTTCCAGCGGGCGATTAATTCCATTTTGCACGGGAGGAGGAGGATGGAAGGAGGGGCGGGATGACGAGCGGGAGGAGGGGAAGGAGGAGAATGGGGAGGACGAAGAACAGGAAAAGAAAAAAGATATGGCCGTGTATCTCCGCATGTTCCAGCGGAAGATTCTCCATTTTGCACGGCGGACCCTTCTCCCTGTTGGGCCCGGGGCGCCTGTGTGAGGCGCAGATTCTGTTGGGGCCATTGTTTTTTCCTTCTCCTGTTTTTTGTTGTTTTGTGGCAGTGTATCTTTCCATGTTCTGCCAGAAGATTTTTTCTCATTCTGCACATTGGGTGAGTTTTTTTTCGCGGGGGGGGGTGGGGGGCTGGGGGGCAGGACATGCAGGAGGAGCACACAGCAGAGAAGGGGGAGATGGCTGAAGAGGAGGCAGATGCAGGAGCGAGACAGTGGTGATGGTAGACAACGGCAAGGAGCAAGGGGGAGGAAGAGGAGCAGGTCTCCGCCGCACGTGGAGCCGAGCAGGACATAGCCTTGTTCCAATTATTTTGGCTAAAATCATAAAATGCCAATTATGTACAATTTCACTGCCCTGTTTCGAAGTACAAAAAGGGATATGGGATTGAATCATTGAACTTGTCATGGCTTTTGTGCCAAGCTGAGGTTTTCGGACACACGCACACATGCACGCGGACACATACACACACACCCGCACACCTGCACACCCACACACATGCACATATGCACATACACACATGGCTGTGACAGGCTAGTTTCTCAGACTTACTGCCTTTCTTGTTGGGGGTTTGAACTGACAGTCTGCTGGGGTTGCAGGGTTGGTGTGAGTAAATTCAACCACCTTTCTCAGGGTTATTGCTAACTCTGTGCGATGTGTCCTTATACTCCTTATCCATCAGTCACATGCATCCTGGGCGGACTGTCAGGGTTGAACCTCCTGATGAGTCAGTGAAAGTCCAACAAACGGACTGGCACAGTCATGCTCACTTTGTGGAGTCGTGTATAACGAACATGATAACACATGCATACACATGGCCTTATTCTTTGCCCTGCTTTACAGAATGGGCTGTATCTTTGTGAAGGAATGTTGTGGGGCCCACCAGTTTTTTCGGGGTGGGAATATATGTTTACAGTTTTGGCCACGGTATCTTTGCAAAGAGGCTCAGAGAGTGTTTGCTGTGGGTGTCATCCCCATGAGCTGCGCTTTTGAGCACATGGAAGAAATGGGGAAGCTTCTAGCGTGTTTTAAGCCGTAGCGCTCCTGGTGTCTCGTGGGGACAGTGTGGAGTTCGGGATTATGGCACTCTATACACTCCAGGGGCCATGGTGTCATAGAGATGATGGTGACATGAGTGGGTAGTTTGGGCAGTGTCAGTGTTGTTGTATTTATACAACCAATGGTGGCTTTGTGGGCTGACTCCGAGGGCTCTCTAAGTTTTTTTAGACCAATTGCCGGCGTGATCGGTGCTTTCTTGGTAGTGGAGCCCTTTGTGTTGTGGTGCAACTAAGTTTTGTGTTCTGTGTAATTATTGTTTGTTAAGTATGTCGCCTTTTGCCCTCCATCCTTTTATTATAGATTGAAATAAAAATATATATATTGTCACATAACTCTGAAGAGTCTGAACTAAAAGATCGCACTTTGCGAAATGAACGGTAAAGATTGAAAAACAAGACAAAGATGAGGGGCACACTGGAACCATTCATTTTTGTAATTCTTATTTTAACTTGCCCTTCACCGTGCCTCTCACCTACAAGGCTCACCACATTGATGAAGTTGAGCACGAGCTGCCCGCACCCCCATGTGCCATAACAGCCCACTTGTACGCTGTGAGAAAGAGGCAGAGTAAAGGGGGAGGTGATAAACACAGGGAAGAGAGATGGAGAGAAGACAAAGACAAAAAAAAGGGAAGTAAGGGAAAGTGCGGAGTGTGGAATGAAGACGAAGGCAAAGGAGAGGATAAGAAAAGCCTC